GTCATTTTCAACTTATTATCATTAGAGAGGAAAAAGTAAAATTTTAAAGTAAAAATAAAAAGGATGAGCGAAGCACTGAAAACTTCAGCACAAAATTTGAGGTACTGAATTAAAAAAAATAGAAAATTTGGGATTGAAAACCTTGATGAGCCAAATAACAACCACAATCATAAGTGTTTTTTATTTGAATTAGAAACAAGCTTGCCTGACATGTCAATCCCAACTCCCTCACCCTCTCCTCCTCACCTACCCCCCACCAATCCCCCCAATCCCCCACCCAATCACAACTCCACTCCCCAGGGAGGGTGGGTCCCTCCACGGGGAATCTTCAAAGTTTGTCATATCATCCTGGGCAGGGCCTAGGCCCTTCCTCATGTATCCAGACTGAAAGAGCATCCCTCCATGTGGAATGGGCTCCCAAAGTTCATTTGTATGCCAGGGATAAATATTGATCTACTATCCAAGGCCCCATAGATTGTCAAGGCCTCCTCACTGACACCCACATTCAGGGGGTCTTGATGCTGGCCTCTCAGCCACCAGTCTGGGGTCCATGAGCTCCCCCTTGTTCAGGTCAACTGTTTCTGTGGGCTTACCAGCCATATCTTTACTCCTTTGCTCATCACTCCTCCCTCTGTGCAACTGGGTTCCAGGAGTTCAGTTCAGTGTTAAGCTGTGGGTGTCTGCCTCTGCTTCCATCAGTCACTGGATGAAGGCTCTAGGATGGCATACAGGTAGTCATTAATCTCATTATTGGGGAAGGGCATTTAAGGTAGCATCTCCACTATTGCCTAGATTGTCAGTTGGTGTCATCCTTGTAGATCTCTAAAAATCTCCCTAGTGCCAGATATCCCCTCAAACCTATAGTGACTCTCTCTATTACGGTATCTCTCATCCTGCTCTCCTCTATTCTTCCCCTGACTCAACCATCGTGCTCTCCCATATCCTCCTCTCCTCTCCTCTGCTCCCCTCTCTTTCTATCAGCTTCCTCTCCCCTAGCTCCCCCCATGTTCTCAATCCCCTCAGGAGACTCCAGTCCCCTTCCCCTTCTCCGGGATACTTTGCATATATCTCTTGGGGTCCCCCTGTTTCTCAGACTCTCTGGCTGTGGGATTGTAGGCTGGTACACCCCCTGATTCATGTCTAAAATCTGTATATGAGTGAGTACATAACAAGTTTGTCTTTTTGTGACTGGGTTTCCTCACTCAGGATGGTTTCTTCTAGTGCCATCTATTTCCCTGCGAATTTCAAGATTCCATTGTTTTTTCTCTGATGAGTAGTACTCCATTGTGTAAATGTACCGCACTTTCTCTATCCACTCTTCAGTTGTGGGGCATCTAGGTTGCTTCCAGGTTCTGGCTATTACAAATAATGCTGCTATGAACATAGTGGAGCAGATGCCCTTGTTGTATGAATGGGCATCTTTTGGATATATGCCTAAGAGAATTCCACTCTTGTGCTGGATCTTGTGGTAGACTGGTTCCCATTTTCCTGAGGAATCTCCATATTGATTTCCAAAGTGGCTGTACGAGTCGGCACTCCCACCAACAGTGGAGGGTTGCTCCCCTCTCTTCACATCCTCTCCAGCATAAATTGTCATTGGTGTTATTGATTTTAGCCATTCTGACAAGAGTAAGAAGGTATCTCAGAGTTGTTTTGATTTGCATTTTCCTGATGACTAAGGATGTTGAGCACTTTCTTAAATGTCTATCAGGCATTTTAGACTCCTCTATTGAGATGGTTTCATAATATTGCATCATTACAGAAAGGGGAATAAATATGGTAAGAATTTTGAGGGGCTGGGCGAAACAAACTCAGCTGGGAGATTTGATGTATATAGTCGATGTGAAACTGGAAAAAATAAAGGTGTCACATGGGAGCATATATGAGTCATAGGTTAGAAAATCCCTGCTAGTTTCAATTCTTTTTTGAAGCTAGATAATGAAATTTGGTGATGGGTTTGAAAGTTAACAAAGTCACATGTTTACAGTAAAGAATGGTTAAGGTTTGGAATGATAGCTGAGGAAAATTTCTTGGGGAGGGACTTCCAAGGAAAAAGTAAAAGGACTAACAAGTGACATTGAGAAAGGATACTAAATATTTGCGGTCATAAATTTATATTCAAAGATCAGAGTGAGCTTCTGCAGGAGAACTGGAATAAAAATTATGAACAGAAATATGAACTCCTGCAAACACAGTGCTTAAATGCTTGGGTTCTACCCCAGGAACTACCCCAATTTTGGAGACCCTTTACCCTATAGGTCAAAATGATATCATGTAAGCAAATAGCATGGCCTTGAATATCTGATTAGATTATACCTTTGATATCTTATCATTCTGATCTTCATCAAATGTCCTGTTCAACAGCTATAAAAAGAGTCCTTGGAGTCTTGATGCTTTCTCTTTGTCATTCTCCATCCTCTCAACTCCATCTTGCTTCTTGGTTATACATACTCATTTGTCCATGTCAAGATTGAGCCCAATTTCTCTGATCTACCTTAATCTTTCACTGAAGTAGTCTTTCTTGAATACATTCTCTTTTGTTGTTTCTTTTTACCATTTTAAAATGAGTAGCATGATTTTTTCTTTAAGACTATAATTATCCCTCAGATAGAGAAAATTTCCAAAAATCTTTAATATGGCACACAGACATTACACAATCTGTTTCAAATCTAGCTTTTCAGTACTCAACTCTATTACACAATTATTCTGTTTTAATCATAATATATACAGAATGTTTTGGTCACAATCTCTATGGTTGTTTGAATGAGAATGTTCCTGTATGTCCCTGTATGGTGATGCTGTTTGAGGAAATTTAGGAGGTGTAGTCTTTTTGGAGGAAGTATGTCACTGGAGGCAAGGTTTGAGAATTTAAAGACTCTGTGCCCTTTTTACTCTTTCTCTGCATCATGATTGTGGTTCAAAATGTGAACTCTCAGCTTCTTCTCCCAGCAGCCATGTCCGCAGCTTGCTGCCATGTTTCTCCATCATCATAAACTTTAAACCCCTGGAATTAAATGCCCCAAATAAACTCATCCCTCACATAAATTGTCTTGGTTATGGTATTTTATCACAGAAATATAAAAGTAATTAATAAACTTCCCACGTTTTACTCACCATATTGTTTGCTTTCACATATTTTTTCCTTTACATGGAATTCTTGCCTATTTTGACAATCTCCCATTCATCTGTCAGCATGAAGAACAATTGTACCTCTAACATGAATTTATATGTTTATGAATAATTTCTTCTTGGTCTACTATATACATATACTGTGTCAACACAGAATTTGCCTATGAAAAAGGTAATTAATTTGTAATTGTAAGGTGAATAAAAGAGAAAGATAACTATTACCTCTTAGCTTTGTAGAATGTCTCATTAGTGGACATAATGGACCTTTATACTTTCTTTACCTTTTGAAATGTCTCCAAGGATTACAAACTCCCAGTCTCTAGCACATTTTCTTTTGAAATGCAAACACATACCTTCAAAGTTACTATTGAACCCCATCTAAAGGTGCAACTATTCAGGAATATGTGTAGTATCATTCTGGAGATGGTTTACTATTCTTTCAGAGTAAGTCAAATAGTTAAGCAAACATCTACCTCAAATCCTAAGTGAACTTACTATGTAAATACTGCAGAATCTCATTTTAAATTTGCAGTACCTTGAAAGCTACCTATCTGCTTGTACATTTTGTGTTTGCTCAGTAAATTAGCCTTCTTTCTTTACATTATTTGTAGAGACAGGTCTGTTTGATGATCCAAGTTATTTCTTTACCAATATAGTAGAGGCAGATATATCATGGGACTAAAGGAATGCAATTTAGTGTTTAAACCCCAGTGAAAATACTCAGCTTTCTTTAATATTTCCTGACTGTCTGGCTACCACAAAGTTTCATTTTAAGTTTATAGTCCATTTGAAACTTACATTTCATTAACACTTTTAGGACTGCAAATATCTTACAACATGGCATAGCTATTTTTTACACTTTCTAAAATGTTTAAATCTTTCATTTCATTGTCATTCATCAGAGTATACTTTGTAAATATGCATGTGTTGTTTACACATTATATCATGTTCAGAATTAATTACATGTTTTTGTCTTATAATTACACATTTCAGAAATTTGAAGCTTGATTTTAATAAGATCAGTAACCATCATAAAATGACACAAAATGTTTTACATATAGCCACTGCTTACATGCCAGTTCTGATTATCAATATTTTAACACTAGCATGTGGTTTGGGAAATATTAGTGGATGTTCACTAGTTTTATTTTCCAGAAAATGACTATGTACACAGAAAATGTACATAGTCATTTTATACATTTCAATCTGAGAAGCTGCAAAACCGGTCTACATCTGGCTAGAGTGAGAATTAAATCAGACGACACTTGGAGGATTTTGTTAAGCTGGAATGTTCAACCAGAGTGTATACTTTGACTTGTATACAATGATGAACCATTGACAAATAGCTCAATTTGAATGAGTGCTTAACTCTGTGTCACAGTAGGTTATGTGTGTTAAGTGCTTTCTCTCTTCATCCTTTTAAGTATTCCGTGGGCACCCTATTTCTCATTTTACAGATGAAGAAACAGATTTAGACAGGTTATCTAGCCCAGAGAAAGAGCAGAAATACAAATTTGGTTGTATTTCCAAAACCCATTCTCCTAACCAGAGGAAAGTGGGAGATGGGAGTTTTATAAAGCTCACTCTGGTAGAAGTATGAGAAAAGACTGCAGGAAAACAAATCAAAAAATATTCTCCATAGCTCAGATGCCCATACGGTAGTGAATCTCCTACTAATTCTTCAGGTCCCTTCATTTCAAAGCATCCCCGACCTTTCCTCACCATTCTCTGACCTTGACATTCGAGCCTACCTAAGAAGTGGGGTTTTGTTCACTTTTTCTAGGTCGCGAACCAAGATCAGACAGCCGCACCAGTGGTCCCCGGCGGGGTGGGGCGCATGCGCGCGGTTGCTAAGAAACGGCGATCAAGGCGCCTTGGTGGTAACTGCGCCGGGTTGTGTGTGTAGGCAGCAGCGCCAGAGGAAGAGGAGCACGAGGATGCAGCTGCTATCGTGGCCCCAAGAGGGAGCAGCCACTGTTCTGTGGTGGCGGGGGCCAAGAAATTGGAATTAAGATTGAGGGTCCTGTTGTTGAGGGGACCAGAGCAGATGGTCCTGCCAGAAGCTCAGGCCTAGTAGTATCCGGAGAGAGTTCGGTCCGCTGGGCGAAGGCCTGTCTCCTTTGCTTCCTCCCGGCCCTCCAAGTCGATGGTGGTGAAGTTGGTGGCCCCCAGAGGCACAAGCACCAGGCTGCTTCTCAAACACCCAGCGCCTTTCTGGCCCTGCTTGGACAGCTGCGACGCCGCCTCCTCTCGCCGGTGGATTCCATCCTCAGCGGCGGGGGAGGGGGAAAGTTTTCCCCTCCGCCAAGGCTGTGTGGTGCAGGGCGACAACGAGACCTTAGGAGAGTAGGGGTGAGTAGTGGCACGGTCTGGTGCTGGAGCTGTTTTCTGGTCTCCGGGTCTCTGGGGCCCCAGCAAGGCCAGTGAAGCACTGCTTTCTCAATCAGAAGCTCCTAACACCCTTCTTCATCTTTCTGCTTGCGGGTAATTTCTTCCAGATAGTTTTCCTTCTCAAAGGCACCACTTTCTGATCTCAACCCTGGTTTCCAGAAACATGTGGATTAAGGCCTGGCAGGGCTTCTTAGATGCTGATGATTTTAAGTACAGCTGTGCACCTTGGGCTCTGATTTCGAGACAGGTTTTCCTAGTGCCCTGTTCACCCATTTCTGCTTGCTCTAACTATGTCTCTGACTCTTGGTCTCGGGAGACAGTCTGACCTGACCTCAGGCTTGTCAAGAGCCCAACCTCCACGTTGTTGTTGCTTTATGACAATAATTAAGTGGTGCCTTAATTTTTAGTATTCTTTATACTCGTGTACAATCAACTTCTAAAACCCATATCCCTAGCTCGTGACTCCTAACATGTAAAACTAGGCAGATGCTAGTTATGTTAAATAATAGTAATAATAATGGCAATAAGACAAAACTAGCAACATCAAACTTAATAAGTAGGTAAAGTAGATGATTGACATGGGGAACACAACACGTTTTACAAAGTACTCTTCATCTAGAATGACTTACTTCTGTATTCAAAAATGTGTTGATGCAACTTAAGATGCTCCTAATAAAAATAAGGATAGTTGTGATCTATTTGTTCTCCTTAAAATAGGGCTACAGTTGAAAGTTGTCACTTCCCAAAAACTTTGGCATGAGACACCCGAAATGAGAGTTTGGATACCATGATTAGAAAAGGTTCTAAAGTTACAAGGTGTTTTGACAATCATGTTATTTTTAAAGTGTGAGACAGCTTTTTAAAAAGTAGATGGCTGAGAAAATTTCCAGTTCCCAGTTGACCCTTTTCAAAAGTGAACTCAATTTGAGGTGATGTGTAATTTTAATTGTGAGGCACTTTTGTGGGCTGACAAGGAAAGATGGGTTCTTTTCTCTCACTCTCTTCCACCCTGACAGTTTTAAGCCATTTCAGGTCTCTTATCTAAAAAGAAGTGGTGAGAGAAAAGCACAATGATGGGAAAGCTAAATTTAGCTTTCAGTAACCCTTTAAGCTAAAGAACTTTAAAAAGAATATAGATGCCATTTGCGATTAGGTAACTTTGGCTAGTGAATCTGTCGATTTTAAATCTGGCAATTTAACAACACCAATTTTCTGATCGTTTTAGACAAAATGCTTTGCATTGATTGCTTTTGTGTTTGAGATGCTCTTGTGTTTAAAGTACAATACCAGGGAAAAATAGTTTTCTACCTCAGTTTGAATTATTTGTTGTGCACTAGATTTTAAACTTAGAGGTGGTTTCTTTTTGGGAAAGGCCTTGATGAATTCTACTCTTAATTATTTGAAATACTATTGGGTCTAAAGGAAGACAATTCCATGGAAATGAATATGGCCAGATAGTTACCACATATCCCAGAGCATTCATACAGACTGTCATAATCACATGATAAAATGATAATTTGTTTTCCAAGTGCTGTTAAGGAACTTGATAAACACTGAACTCTGGAATGAAGTTAGTTTTTGCTTGCTTTTTTAAAAATTTTATTTTCAGAGACTTTTATTACCCTTTCACTTTTGAGATTCTACTCAGTGTCCATCACTGTGGTGGAAACTGAAGAAAGCAGATTAGAAACCGGCCCTAGGGTATGTTGGTGGTGCTCAGGACAGAGCACTTATCTAGCATGTACTAGAAGCACAAGTCTCTGGGTCCAATTGCCAGTGAGCAGTAACTGAGATAAAACATAAAGGACCGATGAAAACAATTCTAACCCTGCCAGATAAAATATATTAATTAGAACAGAAAAATACGTAATAAGGGCTTAAAAAATCAAAGTACAGGGATATCACTGAAGGCTAAGGGTTGTCTGAGAAGGCTTCATACAAAAGTCATACCTATTCTTGAAATTGTATGCTTCGTTGGAAGGAGGAAAAATCCATCACATTACCATTAGATTAAAGGGGGAAAGGATTGCCTATAGCAGTTAACTTTCTTGAAGTGAGCAAACTTTTTATACTGTATTTATAATTTAATAAATTAAATACTAATAACTTTGCAATGTACATGTTATAGAAGTTAGTTTACAATCATCCTATCCTGGGCCATATGAGAATGTTTTCTAAGAAGGCAAAAATAATTAAGTTAACATATATTACAAATATACATCTTCACTGCATAGTAAAACATGGCTATAATCAAAGTATTTTATATAAAACTAGCATAATAGACAGAAATTTATATTATTAATATTCTCCAAAGTCCATTTCCAGATAAATTCTATGAGCAACATGAATTTTGATTCATTAAATTATATAACTCCATTTATCATATACTACTGTGTCTGATAAAGGGAAGGACTATATTAGGGTCTTGAAATTGATACATGTCAAAGTTCTAAGATGTTAATGTGTATGTTAATGTTTGGCAAGTAACGTATGTTTAAACTTCATTCGTAAACCTTTGTAAAACTTACTTTAGTGCATTTCTAAAATTCTTTGCTGTGTTAAAAAATGGTTACATTCCCTAAGTTTGGGTTAGCCATTGTAAACTAATGTTTTCATATAGAAAAATAACAAACCATACTTCAATTAGAGATGATTGCTGATTTACTATAATTTGGTTCACAAGTTTTATTGCATTTGTATAAATGTAGTATGAATTCAGTAAAAACTATTTTTCTTTACTAAGATACTATTTATCCCACCTTTTGTCTTTCTATCATTTCTTTGTCTGACCACTACTATTACTACATCCTATCAAAACAGACCATACATAATTAAAACCAATATTCTATCACAGCATACCATACATAATTAAAACCAAGCAAAGTGTAGAATTCCACCCTTCAATATTAAACCGTCATTTTAGACAACACGTACTTGGTGAAGCTAGAACCTGAACATCATTTATCAAACATGGTAGGGAAAGTTTTCTCTTTGCATTATAAAAAGGAGAGGCCACATAGCATTTGCTACAGAAATGAGGTAAGACGGAATATTTCAAGCTGTTTAAACCATTTTCTTAAAGAGACTTCCTCCACTGTCAGAGATCTTGGCTAGCCTCCTGGTCAGTCATCTGGAAGCAATTCCTCACATAATTGATGAACTTGGCTTCTCCTTTGGAAAGAGAACCACCTTTTCCTACACTTGCTTGCAATCTTGCTTTAATGTTTTCTACAGAACTAAGTCCTTTTGGTGTTTTAGGAAGATTTTCTTTAAGGATCTTAGTTTTATAGTTTTAATTCCTTTCCACCGTGGTTTGAATTTTCTGCATTTGTATCTTGTACAGATTTCTTCACTGGAGCTTTAGTTTCTTCCTTGTTCTGGTTGACTTTTGTCAACTTGACATAAGCTAGAGTCATTTTAGAAGAGGGAACCGCAATTGAGAAAATGTCCCTGTGCTCAGGCCTGTGGTGCATTTTGTTAACTTAAGATTAGTGCGGTAGAACCTAGCCTATTGTGGGTCATGCCACCCCTGGACTGATGGTCCTGGATTCTATAAGAAAGCAGGCTCAGCAAGTCAGGAGGAGCAAGCCAGTAAGCAACACTCCTCCCTAGCCTCTGCATCAGCTCCTGCTTCCAGGTTCTTCTGCCTTGAATCCCTTCCCCAGCTTCCCAGGATGACAGACTACAATCTGTTAGATGAAATATACTCCTTCCCCATTTGTTTTTGGTCATGGTGTTTTGTCACAGCACTAGACATTGTAACTATGACACTCCTTCTTTTCATTGTCAGCTTGTTTATCAATTACTTTCCCTTATTTTTTTCTGTGGAATCTTCCTACAACTGCCAGGAGGCAGAACACTTTCCAGTTATACTTAGGAATCTTACATGCTCTTCATCTTCCTCTGCATCCTCTTCCACAGCTGCTATGTGCTTTCTATTAGTACACAGAGATCCTGACCCATACTTCCACCTGAAGAGCACAGGTGTTATACTTTCAAAGTCTCCAAGGGAAACTTTTACAGACATTTTCAAAGTTGCCAGGGTTAACTTTGACTATGCCCATAATTTATGGTTCTCTAGCAATGCTGGACAGTTGTAATAATCTGTAGCTGCCAGTCAGCCATGAGAAAAAAAAACCCAATACTCTTTAGCATACTGTGGTCCTATGCTACGATGTTCAGTAGATTATGTGCATTAGCTACAGTTTTTATTCACTAAGTTTTGACCTTTTGATTGAGTTATTGAGATGTGATCACAAGTTGAAGATCATCTGTATTATATCAAAAAAGTTGTATGTCCCCTAACATCACTTCACATTTTAGAATTACAGATGCAACAAATATCCATATTTGCTCCAAAAAGCAATTTACCTAAACTTCAAATTTGAGGCCTCTGTATTTTTTCTGAACACAGTAGTCTTGCTTGATAAATTTGTACTAACGAACAACAATTCACTGTTTCTAGCCTCAGCAAATACTGTTGTTTCTTAAAATTGTCATTTCATTGTTACTGATAGTTGGGCGTTTGGTGGAGTGTTTCCAGTTTCTTAGCTTCTTATTCAAAGATTGGAAATACACAGATTGCAAAGTAGCAGGGGATCTTTATTTAAAGCGAAGTCAAAAGTGATAGCAGGCTACAGGAGTGAAAGAGTACTCAAGGGTTCTGATTATGACTGGATGCTTCCTTTTGTATGCAGTTTTAAAACGATCATATTCTAAATATGATCTTTATGATGTCAGTGGACTGAAAAATTTTATTCTTGAGCACATGTCTAAAATTTTGTGATGGGAGATTATTGGAATCATAACCTTGATCCAACAATTCTCTTTGTATTAAATTGTCCAGGAGCATAAACTTCCCCACTAAGCAAAAGATACTGATAGCTATTTCAATATGGGAAGAAGAACAAAGAGTAGAATTTATTTTTCAAGTATTTTAGCAACACACCAAACACTGCAAA